GGAATATGTCAGTGCCAAAGCGTCAGTAGTGAGGGCTAGTCTCGCACGACTGATTCCGAACGTCGGTGGCCCAAAGCAGAGCAGGAGGCTATTATTGTCATCAGTAGTCACATCGGTGCTCACTTACGAAATATCCATTTGGGCCGACGCACTTAAGACGCAAGAATCATGGAGAAAGGCTGGACCGGTATATCGACTGAGTGCCCTACGAGTAGCTAGCGCCTTTCGCACAATATCAGAGGATGCAGTGTGTGTTATTTCCGGTACTCTGCCTCTCAGAGTCCTAGCAGAGGAAAGACGGAACCTATATCAGCGAAAAAGGTCAACCACACTGAGCCCTGAAGAACTTAGAAGCGAAGAACGGCAACACAGCATCGCAAGATGGCAACAAGAGTGGAACGCTTCAGATGAGGGTCGGTGGACGTACCGTCTCATACCTCGGATTGATGAGTGGTTCAACCGGAGTCACGTTGAGATCAACTATTACTTAACGCAGATGTTATCAGGACACGGATGTTACCAGAAGTATCTCCACCGCTTTAAGCATGACGATACCCCAGAGTGCCCGTCCTGTCCAGGGGTCAATGAAGATGTGGAGCATGTCTTCTTAGTGTGTCCACGTTTCAACCAACAGCGCAATGAGTTAGAGAAGATTCTGAAGAAGAGAACCCAACTAGAGTCAATAGTAGAGGCAATGTTGTCGTCAGAAGCTGCCTGGAACGCCACAAGCATTTTTGCTCCAAAAGTGCTTACTGAGTTGCGATCCATTGAGAGGAAAAGAGCGAAAGACCGAATCTAGAAGGAAGAAATAACATCTTAGCCACCAGAAGGAAGAGCGGCAGCTAATTCCTCCCCCCGCGAAGAAATGCCTTACGGCGGTACCATGGGGGATCAGAGGATAGAAGAGAAAGGGGTTTAGGGTTTAGTGGGTAGGGGCGTCAGCGTCGAGTTTTTGTATGACGCTGCGTCGAGTCGCCACATATCCGGGCCAACATCTATGCCTAGAATCCGTAAAAAGGATTCCCTCCCAAAAAAAAAAAAAAAGCACACACACACACATACATACATACATACATACAGACGTACGGACATCATCGTGAAAATATTCAGGAAAGCTTCCTAGGACCTCGAAACGTCGAGATCCGATGAAAACTCGATTTTCGAAAACAGTAAAAACAATAACTTCCTGATTTTTGAAAATTTTCAATTTTCTTAGCGGGAAGTTAAAAATCGTTGGTCTATATCTTTAAGAAATCATGTTTGACAGAAAATTTGACCTTTATTTTTTCACTGAAACCAACAGTTTTAGACTAATACACTAAATTTAATTAAATTTTTCCAAGATTGAATTTCTATCGTGAATAACTTTTCAAAGCGTGGACTTATCGAAAAATGTTATCAATCCTTTTTTGAGGAGCAATTTATTTTCTACTAAAACTATAACAGCCATTTATTAGTCATTTTGTCATGTAAGCGGTATAAAAATCAAAAGAAGCAAAAATAATTCTTCCCATGTTCCCAAGAGCTCAAATTTTAACTGGTGTCTTTGTACATCAAGATAAAACTTTTAAGCTTGTTTGAAAAAAAAAATTTGAAACACGGTTGACCCTGAAGGCCATTCCTGCAATTTCTCGTTAATTCCATACTTAAGCACTCAAAATTGTACTTATTACGTTTTTGAGTTTTTCGAGTCATTTGAACTCACTGAGCTCAAAAGTCTGATAGGGGTTCAATAAAACACTATTTTTTGAATTTTCAAACCTTAATAACTTTTGAATGAATGAACCGATTTTCACGTGTTTGGCAGCATTCGACACAGTTTTTGAAGCCTCATAAAGGAACTTTAAGTTTAAATTGATCGAACCAGGAATTTCGAAGTAATTCCGAAAAAAACCCTTTTTAACTTCCCGCTAAGAAAATTGAAAATCTTCAAAAATCGGGAAGTTATTGTTTTTACCCTGTTTTACGAAAATCGAGTTTTCATCAGATCTCTACGTTTTGAGGGGAAGCTTCCCTGAATGTTTTTGCAATGATGTCCGTATGTCTGTATATATGTGTGTGTGTGTGTTTGTGTGTTACACACACACACACACACACACACACACACACACACACACACACACACACACGCGCGCACACACACACACACACACACACACACACACACACACACACACACACACACACACACACACACACACACACACACACACACA